CTGCCATTCCATGCATTGTAAATAGTCCTGGTCTGTGAAAAACAATCTGTTATCTGACTGATTCGCTTATCGCAGCACAATCACAGATCCTAAGGCAAACTGTGAACTTCCTTTTTGATTCTCTTTTAGTTTTACCACACCTAGGTAAACACAAGTCCTGGTTAGGATCTTATCTATTAGTTTCTGTCTTATGCAGCTATGTCTCACCAGATAATTACAATAGGGGCCATCTCTTTGTGTCTTATTTTACTTGTTGGGGGGTTTTCCTCCTTGTTGGTTTTGTGTTGTTTGGTTTTCTTAAAGAGGATTACTTTGATACAACATAGTTTAAGCAGACTATCATTTCATTATATATCACTGGCAATAGGTATGGCCATGCTTCAGCTTCTAATCAAAGTATTCAGTGTAAACTAGATTTTTTACCTTTGTAAGTTTGGAAAGTAGACATGTCTAACTGAATACAGAGCTTTTTGTTTACTATTTGTTCTAAAGACATGATTATCAGCAATATCTCCCATTGAGCAAATAATGCTGCTATTATGACACCTAGTAAATAATTTTCATCTATGATCATTTAAAAGTACTGTGCAAATTTGACTGATAATGGTATAATACTTAAGCAAAAAAATACCAGCAGATGTAACAAAAATAATGCACACCCCTTCATTTCAAGACAGACACTATTACTCTAAACATGGTAGTCTGTTTTACTTGAGACACATTCTACAGATTGCGGACAGATAAAAGTGACAATTTTTCTGTGCTTTTATCATTTGTACTCCCAAAGTATTGAAATTTGTTTTTCATAATACAAAAATACAAACTGCTGGCTGGTTTATAAAATCAAATACAAGCACCTATACAAATTCCCAATGCCCTAGAGCCATTTGTCCTTTTGTAAGTCTTACCTCAGTTTCTGATAAGATTTCAACAGCTTTGCACCAACTGTTTCATGCCTGCCTGTGAGGGAGGAAAAAAAATAAATCCAAAGGTCATTTAGCAACAACAGCAGTTACTAATGCCTGTATAATACTTTTTTAAATCAGCACCTTTCAGGAACTGCCCTGTATTTACAGAAGCTCATGCACATGCAAGTCAAGAGTGAAATCAATTACCACCTAACATATCAGCACACATGCCAAGCAACACACAAGTTTCTCCTGTATCACAAACTATCATGATTTCACCTTCCCCTCTCGCAGGTGACACGTTCAGACTGACTCTTCACAAATGCTAAGGGCAATCACATGGATACTGACAGGCCCATTCCTACAGGTTGCTAAGTGCTCTCAGCTCGTGAGGTCGAGGAGGCAGGTAGTGCACGGGCCCACTGCACTAAAGCACACTTCAACCACAAAACTCAAACACTGACAAAAGGTTGAAAATGTGTACAGAGTAGGCACATGGTCACCTACTGTGCATTTCATGAAAAATTCTTTTCACTTTTCCTACCAGAGACCTGAACAATCAGGTATATGCTTGACTAGCTCACAAACTCGAGCAAACCCTTTGCTAAGACCATCCCTGCAGGGAAATAGCGACCATGGCTCATTGCTCAGGAGAGCAGCCACGTGCTGTAAAGAGCACCAAGGAGCAAGCACTCCATCAGGCACGGACAGTGGAGACTCAAAACTGTAGTTAGTTTCTAGGTGACCGCAAACAGAAGGAAGGGCTAAACACATGTAACAAATGGCCAACTGAAAATATTTGGAGTGACCTTTAATCACTAATAATTCCTAATATAGAAAGCAGCACATGATCCAATGCTTTCCTGAAAATGTCATTCATTATAACACTACTTACATAAAAATTGTTGGTGATAGAAACAACAATCAGCTCACTGATGTTACAAATTTCAATCAGAACTCCAGACTTCATGCTCTATTGTTAATAAGTAATATTTGCTAACTTAGATTTGAAACTTATTAGTCAATAAAGGCAATCTATCACTTTAATGAAAGTGGTAATTTTATTATTTAGAAAGAAGCTACGAAAAAATTAACAAAAAGCATGCTGCTGTAATTTTTCTTTCCACTCTGAAATATGAGAAAAATTCACTGTAACGTGTATTTTTTCAGTTGAACTTGCTTTCCAGTGAATATTTCCCCTATACTATATTTTCAAACCAAAAGATGGCACTGTCTCTCCAGGATTGAAGGACACAATGGCTGCTGTGTCCCAAGGTTTGCAATCTTTTAACCCCTTTAGTTATATCTGTTAGTCTAATCAAAGGAACTAAACAAACCATATTTCTCCCTGCAGGCTTATCTTCTGTATATCCTTAGATCTTTGTGACTGCAACAGTTTTACTATTAGACTAACTAAGCAAAAATGCTTCAAGCACCCACAAAGCTTTGATAATTCAAAGTGAGAACTCATTTGTTTTGCTGGGAAAAGGGACAGTCAGTACCTTGCAATACCAGACTCAGCATTTGAGAACAACATAGCATTTTCCAAAAACAGACTGATAAAATTACCACTTTTAGAATCACTGAAAGGAACGGGGGAAAATATTAACAATGATTATTGAATAAAACTGCTTTAAAAGATCAGTCAACTAATACTTTAGAATCAGGAGCTGTGCTAGCTAGAACAGTCTTGGGTGAAATTTTTCAAATTTTAAATTAGTTGTTTTAGCAGGAACTGCAGTTTAGTTTCTTAATATGCTACCTGTTCTCTTCATGAACACCTACTACCCAAAATTTGCCTGATTATTTTCTTTCATTTATAAAATTCTTCCTATTCACGTTTCCCAAGAGATACTTAAGGCGCAGATCTTTCCTTTTCACCAACTACTCTTAAATCTAGATGCAATGCAGATACTGGAAGCGAAACTGTATCATTTAAATACAGTAAGGCACAAAGTGAAAGAATTCTCTTCATGAACACCTACTACCCAAAATTTGCCTGATTATTTTCTTTCATTTATAAAATTCTTCCTATTCACGTTTCCCAAGAGATACTTAAGGCGCAGATCTTTCCTTTTCACCAACTACTCTTAAATCTAGATGCAATGCAGATACTGGAAGCGAAACTGTATCATTTAAATACAGTAAGGCACAAAGTGAAAGAATTGCCTGTGTGGTGCTTCATTTAAGAGGCAGGAAATCCTCTCCACCTCACTAGTTATCGTAGGTGAAAACAGAAACTAACAGCCCCTTTGGTGGTGAAACACATTCACCATAGAGCAATCCATCCACATCCTCTATAATTTCTTTCAGGGCTTCGTACTTTTAATTGCACTGAAAAGACTGAACACAAGGCAATGGCACAGCTGGAGGAAAGTAACAAAACAGTAAGCATTTAGCTCTCTGTTGATTTATAGGTATACATGGTTTTCTTTATTCCATTCCACCATTTTTTTAAGCTTTAGAACTTTCTCAGTGAAAACAACTAAGTTTTAACCTTGACAAATGATGGATGCAAGATTATTTCCTTCCTGCACACATAGTTTAACATTTCTGTATTTATTTCATGCCATTGTATTTCTTAGAAGTTTTACACACTCATTAATTCAAATTGATATGGACAGCACTTTTCTCATTCTTATTACTCAAAACAAGTTATTCTTTTCAGTGCTTTCTGCTACTTTGTGTTCATGTTTTATTTAGTGCACAGACAGATGCACTCCACTGCTTTTTTTGACAAATCTCACACCAAGTGGAAGAAACATTAAATACAGTGGCAGACTACACACAGTGTTTCAGTTAGATGATGACTACACATTACACAGCAGTTTATGGTCTGTTCCAGTGATTACCTTCACCCGGATATTTCTTTGCTCGTTCCTCAAAGAACCATTCACCAGCCTTTACTTTCACATCTCTGGAAAGCAATCAGAAGATATTTGAATCAACATGTTCCCAAGTGCATTTCTTCAAACGTTTGGTACCTATTTAGCAATCCAACAATCTTTCATAACCCTTCCACGAAGCTAAGATTTGATGACTGCTCAATCCTTTGACCCATTTTGCTGTGGGTCCGAAAAAAACACAGAGGAGAGGAATCCTCTGCAGGGTGTTGTTTTGTGTCATTTGGTTGGTTGGGGTTTTTTCAGGGGTGGGGGTGGGTGTTGCTGATTTTTCTTTTTGCCATGTAGGACTGCCCATAAAAAGCAATAAGCACTGCTCTAGGCATTGTCCTGAATCCAGGAGTCCTGGCTCCACTCCAGTCTGTACAACCAACTTGCAATTCAGCCCAGGTGTTTGTGCTGACTGGCATGTGACTGCTTACAGCCACAGCCCACTCTGAGAAGCAGGGAACGTCAGTCGTGGAGGACACGGTCCCAAGAAGAACTTGGGATGGCTACCAGGGAGCACTGGGCTCCACAGCCCTGACAGTGTGATGTCCCCATTTTGCAGAGACTATCATTTACATCAATGTCATACAAAGGCACCAGGATAAGAAGTACAATATTACATCAGATTAAACATCTCTCTAAAATCAGATTTCCAGCAAATCTTACTCTTGCATTTTGTCTCCAACTGACTTAGATGAAATCTGCAATCTGAAGTCATCCATTATTAAAGAGACAAAAAGAGTTTTAACTGAGGATAGGATACTCTGGAGTCTTCAGGTCTCAAATTCTCATCTAAATGTCTTAGTAATTTTTAGGGCATATATAATATCTCTGCTCCTTGAGGATTTTCTGATGTTTATTATAAGATGAAGTCTCACTGCAAAAATTTCCTCAGTGCAGGCACCACTAAACTTTCTTCTCTACCCAGTAGTTCATTTTCCTCTATAAAATGTATCTCTTTATTGTCATTGCCTTTGCCAAAATTACTCAAGACCGGCAACAGCATACAGACAGTAAATTCACCTAGGGCTTGCCTTCTTAAGAAAGCAAAATCTCTAAACACAAGAGCTATAGTGATATCCACCAAAGTCCAGGCAACAAAATCCCTGGGTCTGCCATTTCACATCTCACCTTATTCTATGTCAAAATAGACAAACTATAGGTAGGATGCTTGCTGTTCTTTCTGTGGCTCAATTTGAAGACATTTTAGGCATTTAAGTTATGTCTTTGTAAGTAGCAATGCTACTTACATTCACGACCCACATATGTTGCACAAATTATTTTCATGCCTAACCACAGATCCTTGTGCATAACTGAACACAGAGGAGTTTGAAAATTAGTTTTAAAAACTTTGAGACTTATTTATTTTGGATGGAGATATATTAACTAATAGACATCTGAAATCTCTGGCTGCACTAGATCTTTGAGGTAGTGCTTTGATTTTCATCCCCAGCTTTCCCTTTTTGTCATTCCCACTACCCCATGGTTATCTTCCAGAGTTTGATCTCCATTTCTGCACAGATTCATGTGATAATTGAATCTGCCCAAAGAAACTGTAGATGGTCCATCTCTGGAAGTGTTCCAGGCTAGGCTGGATGGGACTCTAAGCAACCTGGGCTAGTGCAAAGGGTCCCTGCCCACGGCAAGAAGGGTGGAACTAGATGATATTTAAGGTCCCTTCCAACCCAAACCATTCTGTGATAATTCCACCATTCACAGGATAAAAACAGAAATGAAAATACTTTTTTTTTTCTTATTTTGAGGACAGTGTATTAAGCTAAGATATGAGCAAAAGTATGAAACTGAAGCTGATAAAGAACAACGCTTGTCAGGTAAAATAGACTAAACTTCTCAAAAGCAAATGTCTTTCCAGACTCCTAGAAGACAGGATTCCTTAAAAAACAAACAAACAAAACAAACACGAACCAAAGAAACCCTCAAAACCACACTATAACAATTCCATTCACATAAGAGGTACCTCTTCCAGGAGGAAGATACAAACTGTGGCAGTCCACAAGGCTTTCAAAATTTCTTCTTTTGTAAAAAGCAAACAATTGCTTATTCATGCATTCTCTTCCACTGAGGTCTTTAAGCAGGCTCATTACAAACATGACCCCAGTATCTAGGAGAGAACCTCAGTAGTGCTGCTGCTGTTTTGTTCAGGAGAAAAACACTCTCGTGATAACCAAGACTCGAAATTAGTTACTTGGGACTTGAAAATCAGCTCTTACCTTTCTTAGCCATCCTATTCCCACACCAGGATAAACAAAAGGTGCTGAGTAGCATTTACTGCATTTCTGCACTCTCTACCCTTCTCAAGATATGTGGCTTTGATGTAAAGCTCATTGAAGGCAACAGAAGAAGTCTATAACCAATTTGAATCAACTGTGCATCACAGCTAAACAAGACCAGATGTGCTCTCTTTGCTATACAAAGAAATTACATGACAGCTGAAAAATTCCCCTGTATTAGCAAGATAAAATATTAATTTCCTCAAGGAAAAGTAAAAAGGTCTTTTAATTCATTTAAATAATGTTTTCCTGGATTTACCATTAAATATCTGGACAAGCTTATGAAATAATTAAGGGTGTGCAGCACTACATGTGGCAGCTTAGCAACTAGCTACTCTCTACAGAGGATTTCCACTGTGGCCACCAGATAACTGGAAACCAATTTAAAACAAGAAGTGCAGGGAGATATCTAGAGGAGGATATGGAAAGTTAACTTTTTAATCTTCCCTTTAGTGCATATAGTTTGAAGGACAGAAAGCACCAAAGCCTAACAACTGCTTTTTATCACATATAAATGGAGATGATCTGCCTATTCCATATATGAATTGCAAAATAAACTGAAGATTCAGAGAACATCTTTTTATTGATAGTTTACAACTCTCTTCCAAATTGCAGAAAACTACTTCAAACTAGAAGAAATTCATTTAGCTTAAGACCAATACTTTGCCTTATATTTCCCAGGTACTATTTGAATCTCATTTTGGCACCTTAAGAGGGAGTAAAGTGGTGGATTAATCTTGTGTTGGCATAATGTAAATTTTCATCCAAATCTTCACCCTTTGTACCTGGATATATATCATCCAGCACAGCTTTTGATTCATTTCCAAAACTATCATTCTTTACTACATATTATTTTTCATCAAATGTGGAAATATATCTAAGCCATTTGCTTTAGAAAGATTCTAATGAATAGAATGGGCTATGATGGAATACTTTGATGTAAACAGTGTACCAATACAGTAAAAGAAAGATTGTTTCCTGTTCCTGGAAAACAAAACTAAGGTGATATAGTAAAATAAAACCCACCTAATTCAAAGTAACCTGATTCCTGATCGCATTTAAACAAATGCTGATAATGTTATTAATGCTTTTTGCTTTTTAAGCTTTTATAAAAAATTACTTCAAATTACTCGTCAATTCACGTTCTCACTCCTGTGGCATGAGGCAGAAGATAACAATTAGGAAATTGTCAAGATTGACTATTCTAAGCCAAAGCTAAGCACCTTCAGCAGCTCGTTAGGATGCACTGGTTCAATATTGAGTCAGGGGAAGGAGTTCTCTCTCCAGTTCAGAAACTAACAATTGTTTCTATGCTTCTTTGTCATCATCATTGTCACCCTACCTCTGGCTTACCCTGAGGATCCATTTTGCTGAATACAAGAAGGGAAATCCTGACTATGTGAAGTATAACACGAAGTTCCCATCTATTGCATTGCTACCAGGACTTCAGCCAACATTTTCATTCTGCCAGAGGCTTTGTTTCATTAATGGCTTAAAGCAACAGATACACAAAACCAGTGGGCACCCACTGGATGACCAGTGTAAAGCAGCACTTATCCCTTCCAGTAAAATTTCTCACCCATGAGCATAACAAACGGTGCATTTCCATAGGCAGGGGTTCAGGCAGACACGGCATTCTGAGCACACTCGATGGCTGCACCCATTGCACACTGCCCCTCTGTTCATCAAGAGCCCAAGTGATTTCTGGCAGCGAGCACATGATCTCTCCTGGTATTCATGGCTTACATTTCTTGTCCCTTTCCACCGGAGCTGTTGCAACTGCAGTTTCAATTTCCTAGAAAACAAAAAAGAAAGAAATTACATAGACAAACTCCCTCATGTAAGCCACAAGCTAGTACCCCGGATGGGCAGTACTGTTACTAGTGGGAGATACACCCTCAAGTGCAACCTCAGTTGAGCACTGTCTGGAGGCATCCGTCCACACATGGCATTTTTGCACAATGACTGTATATGTGGCCAGAGCTGTGCATACAGACAGAAATAGTTTAGTATAAATGGGGTTCTGTTTTTGTCAGGCAGGCTCAGGGCAGGGCACTGAAATCATGTGTGCAACTGATTATGTATTCACTTACAAAAACTGAGACTACATGGTGCTCCCTTTCATTTGATGGGTATTTTTTTCATATTTATCCAAGAATCAAATCCTCTACCAAGTACAAATAAGAACAAATGCACCATCTGAAAGCTAAATTAAAAAACCAACCAACCAACAACAAAACAACACATCAGCCCAAAATACCAGAACATCTCCCCTTCACTAACTTGGTTATTGGTATGTGTAATGGAAATAAAGATCAATGTTTTTGTTAGTAACATCATCAACAGTTGAAATGGATTTTCCAACCAATTTAGACTTTCTTTATAACCCTTTACTTGCTTTTCACAGTCATTTAATATGTCCAGTAATACTTACATAAATGTTTGCTGTAAACAAAGTAAAAGTTCCTACATTTAAGAGACTAAAAATAGATACTTTATCCACACAAATACCCTGTTTTACATGGGGATGCAATGTCACAAAGCAGGGTACAAGCTGCAAGGAAATCCTTGTCCTAGCCATGATATAAACCAAAGTGCTGGAGGATTATCCTTTATCCTCCCCAACTGAAATACTTGTAGAGTGTGAAATTATTCAATAGAATCTTTATCCTAACTAATGATACCTACTGACAGCATGGTGTGCTTGTTACTTGTGTGTGTGAGAAGGGACAGTGATGGGTTTAGTACAATGAGCAGGTATCCAATGATTCTTAACTCCAGTCTTGGCACTGCCAAGATCTGAACATGTCTGTGTTACCAGGACTATAAATGCATTCCTAGGAACATGATGAGAATGCTATAAAGCCCTAATTAGAAAAACACAGGCAGCAACTGAACTTCCTATGAAGGCTGGAAGTAAAATTCATCAAGTATGTTATTCACTGAACTTCATCTTTAGTGTATGTAGAGTCAATAGTATAGTAAATCCAAGAGGTTCTGGAAAATCCTTAGTTTTCCCAAAGAATAAAAAGACATTAGCTAAAAAAGATAATAAATAAATAATTAAATATGCATTTGGAAGGACAACAAATTGGGAGAAGAGTACTTCGGGGAAAGAAAGGAACAGAAATACAAGAACAAAGAAAAGAACATGAATAGCAGATACCTTATTCTTTCCTCCTCTGTTTTTCTCACCATCTGGTCACGGTACAGGACTTCTAGAACAGCCTCTCGTTCCAGTTCCTTAAGGCAGTTCAGATTAAATTCAGAGGCCATTTTTGCCAAATTTCACTTGTTTTGTAGACTCCTGTGCTATGGATTCTACTACATCCAGAACAGTGGTCTGGGTGTATACTAAGTGCCTGTGCTCTTACTTGATTAGAGATGTGTTTCACTGCATTATATCCCTGAGAAGAAAAATAACTGTGGCTGCCTTTACACGAATCATCACTTCAGTGTCTCTGCTACTCAGGGAATATCAACAGTTATCAAGGTCACAGCAGTCTTGACTTTTTCATGT